TCAAGCAACAGGTAGGTTTTGAAATAGCTACCACATCTACCATCGCATTGCAAAAATCCTCTTCAGTTATTGTAACAAATGCAATAACTTAAAATGAAATTGGTGTAGTTCATAAAATGCCACAGGTGAATGGAAATCAAGGTGCTTGTAAATACTATGCCTCTGTACATCTTCCCATTTGTCGGGAGTCTCATAAAGGCTTAATTAAGCATTCTTGGGCTTTATTTGGTAATGTGACATTTGCTATCAATTTCTAGGTTTGAATTTGAAGACAAGCCATCAAGAGGCTGGTAATTTCCTTCTGGGTGTTTTGCACATAATTGGAATGAGCAGAAAGAGAAGTGGCAGCAGGTTCTGTAGGTGTGTGTTAAAGAAATACTGTCCTTTCCCATACCAAAGGAAAGAACATTCTATTCTTAAAACCTTCTCTGCTCCCCATTAAATATCTGCTCAAAACTTATTTGTATTGCTTACATGTTCCCATTAAATGTAAGCTATGATTCTCAGCAGCTTTTTCAGCCTGTCTTTTCTAAATGGAATCACATCATTTTATTTCCATTATATACCCGAGCTTTCTGAAGTTCCCTTCTTAAATAGAAGCAAGCAGAGATTTAATATTTATTCATTTTTCCATTATAAAAATTGTTGCATGCTTATTAAATAAAATGGGGCCACCAAGAAAAAAGAAAACCAAAAAACAAAAATTTATAGAAATATGTCCATGTTCACATGTTGATGTATTTTTCAAGTCTTTTTTTCTCTTCATAGGTATGCAAAAATATTTTAAAATCATTATAGAAATACAATTCTCTATGCTTTACTTTGTAATTGGTAATTTTTAAAAAAAGATTTAATTGTTGAATAATATCCTATAAGTTAGATATCAATTAGTTTTAAAACATTCATTGAATTTTTTAACATTCAAGTCTTTTCTAAATGTTTTGATATTACAGATAATACTATGATAGATGATTTTGTGCATGAAACCTTTTACATTACAATTATTTATTTAGAAAAAAATTTCAAATGTAGACTCTATATCTCTAAAAGCAGTGCCATTTCATACCCCACTATTATTGATATTACAAGGTTTTTTTACTGTTTACTAGTTTAAAAGCAAAAGTGGTTATCTCATTGTAATTTGCATTTCTTTGGCTACTAGTGAGGTTGAATAGTTTTCCCTTTGTGTTTAATCTAATTTTATTTCCTCTTGTATGAATTGTCCATGTGTTTTGCATATTTACCTAATATAAACTTTCTATTCTCTACCTTGCATGAGTGTTCTCTATAGTAAAAATCCGTTGTCATACTTGATGTATTTTTGTTTCCTAACTTGTTGTCTTTCTTCGAATTTTGGTTACTTCTTCAGGAAAAGGTTGATAACTTATAGGTGGATAAATGTTAGTTTTCTCTTTTCCACGTATTCTGTGGCTTTTAAGCTTAAAACGTCCCCACGAACACCAATATTCAGAAGTTCCTTAGCTGAAAAGAACATATGGGTTCTTTTTATGTATTTAACCCTTAATCCATCCAAAGTTTATATTCTCCATAAGCTGTGGAAACAAAAACGAATTAATTCTTTGCCAAATACCAGTTACTGAATAATCTATTTCTTTGTCGCTGACTGGTAATGAATGCTTCCATAAAACACACACACATGCACACGCACACACTGCATGAAGATAATTTATTACTATTCCTTTTACACAGTGAGGTCTTGTCCAACAAGAAGGATTTAAGGCAGCCTTAAATTCAGGCATTACCAGGGCTGAGACTTTTGTCAGAGCTCCCTGTGCTGAGTCAGCCCTGCTTAATGCCACTGAAGTGAATTATATCAGAGTTCATCACTTCCCCTTGGGCCCTGTGTATTGGAATTGTTGACTACCCAACCTCCTTGGATTAGCTCCTAATACCAGTCATGCTGTCCCCCACTCCATTATTCATGTTTGCCTCTGAAGTGGCAACATAGTTCCCAAATGAGCTCCCCTACCCCTCACCAAAGCAACACAAAGGCTCAGCGACTGAGAAACACCCAATATAGGCTGCCTCCCAGATCCAGCCATGAAGAATCTCAAGACTAATTATTTTACCCTTGTCCCATCAAAATTTGTATGCATTTTCCATTCTTTTAGGGCAAGATCACACTCTCTACTTGCCCAAATAGCAGCCACCCATCATAGCAAACTCTGCCTTCAAGGCTAACACTAAATATTTTGTCAGAGGCCACCGCTATACCTGGCATATTAGCTTCCTATTGTGGTGCTGTAATAAATGTTCACAAGCCACAAACTTAGTGACCTAAAACAAATTTATTCTCTTGGAGTTCTGAAAGTTAGAAATCTGAACTAGATTTCAATGGGCTAAGATCAAAGGATCAAGAAAGACTGTTTTTCCTTCTAGATTTTAGGGAAGAATCATTTCCTTTCCAAGCATCCAGAGGCCACCTGCATTCATTCCTTGGCTCATGGTCCCACACTCCGTTTTAAACGCCAGCTGCCCAGCATCTTCAAGTCTCTCTCTGACTCTCCTGTTTCCCACTTTTACGTATAAGGATCCTTCTGATTCCATTGGGCCTACTTCGATAATCTAGGATGATCTCCCCATCTCAGAATCCTCAATCACATCTACAAAGTCCCTTTTGCCATTAAAAGGAAAATGCTTATAGGTTCCAAAGAGTAGGATGTGAACATATTTAAAGGTCATTATCCTCTCACACTAAAGCTGAACTACAATAGTTGCATGAACAATGACCCCATAGAAGTGGTGATTTCAGGTCCAAAATAGGATCAGTATGGTAATAATTAATTATGCTTGCATTGATATTTGCCCATTTTATTCTTTTATTAATTTTTTAATTTACTCATTCAGGAGAGATAGCATAGAATAGTGTTTAATTAACTAATCACTGGGAACTGAGTGTTCATTTTAATCCCTGACTCTGAATCTTACTGCCTAGCAAGTTATTTAACAAACACTGCCTCAGTTTTCTCATCTATAAAATGGTGAAAATAATAGTATCTATCACATAAAGTTGTTGTGTCCATAAAATAAATTCATTCATATAGAGAGCTTAGAAGATTGCCTAATACATAGAAAATACTCAAAACGGGTTAGCAGCTATCATCCTCACCATTATCATTATTCATTCATTTAATAAATAGTTTGAGTCCCAGGTACCAGGCTGTGTACTAGGACTTAATGCATTTTCTTTCAAATCTCTCAAAATCTGCGAGAAGTGACAGGCACCTAAATAAATAACCAAGTGACAAATCATACTTTGCTAAAGTTAGAACACTTATAGATTCACGGAACATTGAGCAACTTATTCCAAGGTTGTTGCATGGTGTGTGTGAATGTGTGTGTGGGTGTAGGGGGCAGCGTACAGTAGAGGAAATCAATCAATGTAAGTTATACATTGAATGATAGGTAGGGATTGGAAGGATGAAAAATTTAATGTGTACTAAAGTTCTTCCTCTTAAGGGCTAATCAATTTGATCCCACATTGGCTTATAATAATTTTAAGACTCATCCTAACTCTATATATGCAGTGGGAAAGAGACATAATAGAAAACAGAATAGAATTGTTGTCACTGGGGACCAAGGGAGACAGGTTTACATACACAAATAATGAAGACATAGATGCGTGGATACTTACTTTGGAACTAATCAAAAGAAAGACTGAGGAAGCAAGATTTAATTTTCATAGACTGTTATAAGGATCATTCTATAGTACATAGAGGAAACATTTTATCTTGTGAATGAAGAGACTGAAATCTAGATTTATCTAAACCTGTAGCTCTTAGGCGGAAGGCTGGAAATCAAATCCTGGTCACATGACACATGATTAAGACCCCTTTTGGCAAAACTGAGATGGCTCAGACTTGAGCTGTAATCTTTAACAAGTTTTCTTCTGTACTCCCCACTTTTCAATAATATTATAATATAGTTTAGTATAGTATAGTATAGTACAGCATATAGCAATGACACAGTGTCATTGCTTTGGCTATGGGTAACTACTTTTTTGATGTCCTAAGAAGACATCTTTACTTTCAATATTGAGTATTTTTGTTTCAAAATTTAATAACTGATAATAATAAGTTCAAGGCCTTTGCCTCTTGCTTTAAGGTTGGTGTACATGTTTAAAGAATTAAGCATTCTTTCATTGAGTTCTCACGAGAGACTCAGTGGTAATAATTATTAGCATTTTATGTAAGGAAAACAGACTTAAAAATAATTCAATACCTTGCTGAAGCTTATATTACTAGGAAGTGGTGGAGCTAGGATCTGAACCTATTTCTGCTTATTTGAAGCACTTGTGCCCTTACAGCTTTAAGGGGAGGTTTGTGGATTTATTTCCTAATTTAACATTCTTCAAAAACGACTTGGTCATGGGAGATGAGGAAAGCCTCTTACTGAACTATGTTAATTCCCTGAAAAAGAGGCCACTTTTCCCTAGCAATGTCCAAAGTAGAAGCACTCCTCCACTAGACACAATTTAGGCTAAGTGAGAGACCAAGAAAAACTATGATTAATAAGCTCTTCATTGGCAGATGCAATCAGTATCATCCTTTCTTTCTGCTCTCTGGAGACATACAGCTGACTGTTCAGTAAATCCACAGGAACTAAGGACCATCTTAATATCACCTCCAACAGCTAGCTTCTCAAACAGGCTCACCTTTGAAGTGAAGTGAAGTTTTTAAAAATAATCACTATATATCTTAATAATTTTTGAGGCAAAATACTTTTAAAGACATTAAATGGGTTTTAAAATTTACTTCTCTTAAATACCTAATATTTTCCCAAAAAGAACACAAACCACAGTAACAATTCACATTATTTTATTATATTTCTGCCTATAGTTAATTCTGCTTTTTTCCATCATCCTTTTCAATACTCTCTACATTTGTTCTAGAAATTGTTGTTTAAGAATGGTCGTGAGTTCTGAGCTTCTTCCAGACGTTCATCTCCCTTTGGGTCTCATTCTCGGACTTTCCTCACAGGATGGCCCCCAAACGCCAGTCTTCACTCCCATCTCAAACGAAGAAACCAAGACTGCCTCCTGCCCCCAAGCCGGAGAAGACGTCGACCTCTCTGGACGTGCCCAAGAGAAAAAGAACAGCAAGAAGCAATTGAACATATTGATGAAGTACAAAATGAAATAGACAGACTTAATGAACAAGCCAGTGAGGAGATTTTGAAAGTAGAACAGAAGTATAACAAACTCCGCCAGCCATTTTTTCAGAAGAGGTCAGAATTGATCGCCAAAATCCCAAATTTTTGGGTAACAACATT